TCCCCACGGGCCCCCGCCCCCATTGCCATCCTTAGTAATGATCAATACTCGATCGAGTGTAGAAACCAGGGAAATACTCGACCCATCAAACACCTCATACCCGATCGGGTAACCCAACATACCCGGTCGGGTATATACTCCTGCATTCCAAACAAGGCTCCATCTTCAACAGTTGCAACAGATTGATAAGGCAACGAAATGCTCTCCAGTGCATTACGTATAGCTCTAACTGTTTTGTACAAGTGGAATATTTCAAATTCAAATTAATAAAGGGAAAATTCCCGAAATAGGAGTAAATAAGTTTGATAATTACAAAATAGGATTGTCATGTTTTTATTCCTAAAATAGGAGTAATTACTGTCAAGTTTGGAAAATATTGTCATATTTAAAGTCAGATACTGCCAAAACATGACAGTAATTAGTCTCATTTTGGGAATAAAAATATGACAATCCTATTTTAAAATTTTCAAAAGTTTTTAGTCCTATTTAGGGTAATTTGCCTAATTCAGAACCCAACCGAGATTTCAGTTGATCGAGCTCTAACCTATTGCCAACAATTCCCATACATCGTTATTTGCTTATGTTCCGTAAGCAATTTCTTCTTGATTTTTCTCTTGTTAATTTGTTAACAAATTCATCAATTGAATACATAATTTGACAATCTATTGTTTTTAATTTGGAGATCACATACATCCATGAAGCACTTTTTCCAGGCAAGTGCTTGAGGTTAATATATTTTGATAAACTAGTTACTTTTCTTGTACATGAAAAAGTAATAGCATAGATATGATTAATGCTGAAAAAAACTTATGTTTAAATTCAAGTATTGAGATTTATTAACATCATTATTTGTATTTTATTTAATACATAAATGTTACAGTAGTTCTTATTGTAATTAAAAATATGCAACTGTTAATTTTTTTAATAAGGATGTTTTTTAATTCGATTGAATTTGTCCGAACTGGTCCGATTTGTTTAAGTCTTGTCAGGTAGATGTCTGGTCTTCATTTATGTATGGGAAAACTGTCAAATAGGCCGCTGTACTTTAATGAAAAAGTCAATTAGGTCCTCGTACTTCAAATTGAATCAATTAAGTCCCCGAAGTATTAAAATATAACCAATTAAGCTATTTCATAAGTCACCAGCCGGTAACCCGGTTACCGCCTAGTCACCTACAAAATAGCTTATTTGATCAATTTTTAACACTTAAGGGACTTAATTGATTCAATTTAAAGTACGGGGACTCAATTAACTTTTTCGTAAAAGTACATGGACCTATTTGACAGTTTTCTCTTTATTTATTTTTATTTTGATTTAGTTTGTTGATTATTTATTTACAATAATATATAGTAGTATACTTTTTTGTAAGCAGATTAATTTTGAAAAAAATGACAACACCTAGTTATGACTCGGATTCTAATATTATCTACACAAATGTTGAATGAGTTAAGGAGGGATGATGATGTTTATGCCGAAAGAACATTGATGTAGTTGAGACATGTGCAGTTCGCATCTCATTAATATTGTCTCTTATGTTAATATATGTAGCAAAGGTCCTCATGGCGAACAAGTGGTATACGGTATACAAATCATGATAGGAAAGAACGTCATGATTTAATTAATGATTATTTCAATGGCGAGAACTCAAAGTATACACCTGAGAAATTTCGTTGACGATTTCGGATGGACATCGAATTATTTCAACAAAGTTTGAGAGAAATTCAGGCCTATGATGATTATTTTACACAAAAGGTTGACACAATCGGGAAACCCGGGTTGAGTTCTTTACAAAAAATCATAGCTTCAATACGTATGTTAGCATATGGTTGTGCAGCGGATGTTCTTGACGAGTACGTCCAAATTGGAGAGAGCACAACAATTGAGAGCTTGAAACGATTTTGTGATGCCATTATTGAAATTTTTGAAAAGTAATATTTACGGAAATCAGACAAAGATGATGTTGCAAGACTTTTAAAAGAGGGAGAAGACTGTGGATTTCCAAGTGTGCTTGGTAGTATAGATTGCATGCATTGGCATTAGAAAAATTGTCCAATAGTCTGTCATGGGACACACACTAACAGTTTCAAAAGAGTTTCAACTCTTATTTTGTAAATTATCGCTTCTAAAAATTTGTGAATTTGGCATGCGTTTTTTGGAATGGCCTGTACAAATTATGAGGTTAATGTTTTAGATAGTTTTCGTTTATTTGATGACCTTGTTAATGATAAAGTGTCACTGTAATTATGTAGTGAATGGTCATCATTACAATATGGGTACTATTTATCAGATGAGATTTATTCAGAATATGCCACTTTAATTCAAACCATCTCAAATTCATCTTCTCTCAAGGAAAAATTATTTGCAAGGCTTCAAGAGTCTGTTAGAAAATATGTAGAATGAGCATTTGGAGTGTTTCAAGGTCGGTGGCATATTATCAAAGGTCCAGGACGTATGTGGAATCCAAAGAATTTAGGAAAGATTATAAAAGCATGCATCATTTTATATTACACAATTGTTGAAAGTGATAATAGTCAAGGCATTAATCATTTTATAATAACATTGAAAAATGTTATTCCAGATCACGATTTTACCTTTCTTTTTTCAAGGATGAATACATGAATGAAGGAAATACAAAATAAAAGATTGCACCGAGTTTGCAGTAATTCGAATGCTCTTTCTACATCTTTTCCAACAGGCTCTCGAATTCTTGCAAATAATTTTTCCTTAAGAGAAGATGGGTTTGAGATGATTTGGATTAAAGGGGCATATTCTAGATAAATCTCATCTGATAGATAGTACCTTATATTGTAATGATGACCATTCACTACATAATTGCATAGTGGCGCTCTATCATTAACAAGGTCATCAAATAAGGGAGATCTGTCTAAAACATTAACATCATTATTTGTACCGGCCATTCCAAAAAATGCATGTCAAATCCACAAATTTGTAGAAGCTACAATTTCCAAAATAAGAGTTGGAGCTCTTTTGAAATCGTTAGTATGTGTCCCGTGTCAGGCTGTTGGACAATTTTCTAATGTCAATGCATGCAATCTATACTACCAAACATACCTGGAAATCCACAGTCTTCTCCCTCTTTCAAAAGTCTTGCAACGTTATCTTTGTCTGATTTTTGTAAATATTGCTTTTCAAAAATGTCAATTATGGCATCACAGAATCGTTTCAAGCTCTCAATTGTTGTGTTTTCTCCAATTTGGCCATACTCGTCAAGAACATCTGTTGCACAATCATATGCTAACATACATATTGAAGCTATGATTTTTTAGTAAGGACTCTACCCTGGTTTTCCAACCGCGTCAACCTTTGGTGTAAAATAATCATCATAGGCCTCAATTTCTCTCAAAATTCGTTGGAATGATTCGATGTTCATCTGAAATCGCCGATGAAATTTCTCAGGTGTATACTTTGAGTTCTCACCATTGAAATAATATTGACAATTAGATCATGACGTTCTTTCATATCACGATTTATATAACGTCTACCACTTGTTGAACACTTGAACCGTCATGAGGACCTTTGCTACATATTAACATAGGAGACAATATTAATGGGATGTGAACTGCACATGTTTCAACTACAATTTTGGCATAAACATCATCATCCCTCCTTAACTCATTCAGCATTTGTGCAGACAATATAGACGAATCATCGCTAGATGTTGTCATTTTTGTAAAAATTAATCTGTTTACAAAAAAGTATATATTATTGTAAATGAATCATCAACAAACTAAATCAAAATAAAAATAAATAAATGAAGATCGTACATCTACCAGACAAGATCAGACAAGACCTAAACTGATCAGACCAGATCAAGCCATATCAAACTAAAACGTCCTTATTAAAAATTCATGATTGCATATTTTTAATTACAATAAGAACTACTGTAACATTTATGAAACATTTATTTATTAAATAATATAAAAATAATGATGTTATTAAATCTTAATACTTGAATTTAACCATAAGTATTTTTTTCCAACATTAACCATATCTATGTTATTACTTTTTCATGTTCAAGAAAACTAACTAGTTTATTAAAATATATTAACTTCAAGCACTTGGCTGGAAAAGTGCTTCACGGATGTATGTAATCTCCACATTTAAAACAATAGATTGACAAATTATGTATTCAACTGATGAATTTGTTAACAAATTAACAACATGAAAATCAAGAAGAAATTGCTTATGTAACAAAGGCAAATAACGATGTATCGGAATTGTTGACAATAGGCTAGAGCTCGATCAACTGAAATCTTGGTTGGGTTTTGAATTAGAGAAAATCTGGGTCATATTTAGTTTCTCATTTATTAATTTGAATTTGAAATATTCCACTTGTACAAACAGTTTGAGCTATAGCTAAGGCATTGGAGAGCATTTCGCAGTTTTGCTACCTTATCAGTTATCAATCTGTTGCAACGATATTTTATATATAGTTCCCATCTATTCATGTCCATGGAATTATGGAAATCTCTGATTTTCACATGAGTCAATCCAACTAAGATTTCTGGTTGGTTGCTAAGCGTGCAGATGGAATGAAAAGCTCCTGAACAAGGTAAAGCACAAATCCAAATGGGCAAATTTCAATCTTCAAACTCTAATTACTAGAAGATATAAAAACATAAAACACTTGAAGACAAGATAACGAGGGAATAGCAAGATAGGTCCTAATCTCATCTTGAATCGAACACGATTGATGTTACGAAGTATTTAAGAGTTACACTGTTACACAAGCCATAGATTAACTTTCTGACAGCTTTCACGGGTTGACTTTTTTGTGAAATAAGGAATTGTTCACTTCGATTTATTGTGGTTACTAATCAAACTAAATCAAGCTAGATTTACCAAATCAAACTAGATTTTAATAGACCAAAACATAATAGAACAGATTTTGATAGCAATAAAAAGCAAATAACACGAGACTAGTTCAAGCGAGATCCGAGCATATCTAACTTATATAGTACAATCTGTCACCTAGACCATTTCGGACAAGTAAATTTCATTTTAAATGAACAGTGATACAATAAAAATTAAAATTAAAAATAGTATAACAAGCAACACTTTTTCTAAGCCAGATTGAGAAATCATTTCAATTGATGTCGGTCCAACACCAAACACAACGTTTAAACAAGTGTTTAATGTTCAACACAAAATATACAATCCTAAAGTTAACATAGATTTCATTTTGTAACCTCCAAATCTATTTTCAGCTTACCTTGACATTGGTGAGCACTACAACTCCACATCAAAAGGAAAAGACCTGACTGCTGGCTCCATGGTTTTCAACATGATATTCATATTAGTAATGTCTTTGCCTGTCCCGATATTGAGCAATGAGCATTACTGATCCAGAATTTATGAAGTGAATGAGACAGCAAGGGATGAAAAATGTAGAAGTCAACATGCTTTCATACCCATCTATGCAAACCCAGTTTTTAAGAAACAGTCAGCGCATGTTCTTCCCCTTGTTTGTTTCAGATGGTTGTGAAGGTATTCGACTTAGAAGGCATATTAAAGCTACACCAATTAATGCACCTGATAGATGTGCAATGTGATTGATGCTCTGCAGCGCATAACTTCCACTAAAACTGCCTGGCAATACTGTTGAAGCTTGGGCAGCTTCCATCACCTTATCCACACAATAAGAATTAGGGGTGCTGAGGGATTCAAGAAATTTGTCAACTAACCCAATTTAGCTCGGTTGAAAGTTTTATAAACCAGGTGAACATTGATTTTGACCATACAAGTTGGGTTGGATAGGATTGGATCAGTTCATAATTCACACATAAATAATAATATAAATAATAAAATTAACAAAACTAAAGACTTAATCAGATAATGAACGATAATAAACTCTTGAATTGATTCAATTATCCATCAACCAATCGCAAAAACTATAAATAGTTAAATATAGTCCATGCAAATGAAAACATAAATTTTTTTTAGTTAGTATAAAAACACATTTGTAATTATTTAGTAATACCTATATAGTGTGTTATGTTATGTTGGGTTCCATTGGTTAGATTGATTATTGGGAAATTGGTTTATTCTTTTGTGCACACCTAGTAGGAATGTCATGTTTTCACTCATCTAGAGTTTCTTAGGCGAGGGGCATAAGGCATTCTGAGATCATTTGCTGTATGGTAGGAAAATGTACCCAGCCTAAAAATGTTATAAAAGTCCCAGTCCAATACCAATTAATCCCCACTCACCTTGGCACCAAGCTGTTATTGGTTGCCTATGTTTTCCCCTCTTAGACCACACCTAACTCCACTTAGATCCCGCCTAAGCCCAATTAACACATACCTAGGCACAGGCCACTTGATTTAAGATTAAAGGTATCACCTGTTGCAGTTATCTAATTGTTTTGCAAGTAAGGCTTTGGGATAGCTTGCAATCGACTCTTCTGCTACACTGAGAACCTTAAGTTCCAATCTGATTTAACTTGAATATTATGCCTTTAAAATTATATACTATCTATGAGCTAAAGATGATCATGCAGAGGTTGTTTCAGTTTAATTGACAGAAATGAATTCAATACCCTTTCCACAACAAACTGACCCAAGATAAGTGTTTCAAGAATCCTCCTCCAGTCCCAAGAAATCTGTTCAAGGAGGAAAGAATATGAGGGTCAGAAATTTCCAAGCTCCCAGGGGGAAAAATTTATATAATAATTCATATTAAGAGAATCATACAAATATGATAGGATAACCACCTTAACAAGTACACTAATTGCGAACAGTCCATACACTGCACCAGATGCCCCAATAGAAACTGCATTTCTAGGAAGAACTAGCCATGAAACAAGGTTCGCCCCAGCCCCAGTTAACAGATAAGAAAACCATAATGCAAGGTTTCCTTCTTCCTCTTCAACAAGTTTTCCTGAAAAGCGAAAATTACTTGACACTGACCATTACAAAACACTCCGTAACATCTAATCAACACATTAAGAGATTATCACTTTGTCATTGATCAAGTAAGGTGCCTCACCAAAAATATACAAGAAGAAGAGGTTGCTTGATAAATGGTTCCTGTTATGTGATTATAATTTGTGAAATAAGTCAAATAATATGGAAGAGGGATTAGAAGTAGGCTAAAGCAACTGCGACGTACGCTAGTTTATACTTTCATCATCATTCTTGCGCATTCCAAAGGAGAAAGTTTCTTACCAGTTAAAATGACAGAATGTGGCAGTCACAAACTGGTACCAAGAAGGATGATTATGGTATAAATACAATGTTTTTATGCCCCCAACCTGGAAAACATTGGCTTTTAGATTAAACAGGGCTCAAATATAATGAGATATCATCAGAAAACCAAGTATCATATCTACAGTTCTAAACAACGACTAAAACTGTTTAATCCAGTTAACTTTAGAAGACAGCAAAGTATATGATGTAAAAGATTTAAAACACCTGGAAAATGTGATCTGCAACGAATATCCCAAGGTTTATGAGTAGAATCCAGAAAATTCCATTCACACGCTTCTCTGGTTTATTCTTCTCAATGGGGTTCCCAAGCTCCAGCTTTGATGTAATATCTGAATAAAATAATGAATTCTTTAACAAAAAATTGAAGAGCATAATAAACTCGTGGTTCAACGATAGAGAAAAAGGATGTCTGTGTGGATATATATAGTAACATAGAGAGATGAATTTCACCTGAATCCTTCAAATTGTAGAAGACACGAGACCGGGAAGTTCGAAGTGGAAGTGAAATTTTGGGCGTGAGGCAGCAAGAAGACGAAGAAGTAGGAGTGAAATAAAAGGGAAGCTTCCAGGAGAGTGGATTTAGCGGAGGTCTTGAGAGTGGCGGCGTGGCCAAGGGTACGAAGCCACGGCAGTCGAGCATAAGCTGCCGCTGAAGCGGAAGTTGAAGCCGAAGCATGGTTTTGACGGGAAAACAGAATTTGGCAAACACGCCCTTGTTGAACTACCAGCAACCGGGTGGTTGGGTTTGGTTCTAGAGCGGTTTTCCCCAACCTCGTCTAAACGAGTAAATGACATAACAGGGTAGAATCTTTGCAGGTGTTTCCAAAAGGTGTAGGTTTGACCAAATTATTGGTTGAAGTGGTTCAACATATTTGCCAAATATATTCAGTATTTGCAAAAAGAAAAAAATATGTATCTGGACATATTTGCCAAATATGTCAGTCTTCCTATTGGTCAAGAGGGGTGGGCGCGGATCGCCATCTGGGATCGCCAGCTGAAGGGTGTGGATTGATTCGATCTATTTGAGCAGATTTACGAATCTGTTGTAATAAATTAATATATTTCTCAACATATTTGGTGAATATGTCTGTGCTCCTATTGGTCAGAATAAGGTGGTTCGGATTGCCAATTACTCAACATGTTTGCCAAACCTGCTCTATAAAATCCACCACAAACCTCACCTCACAACCCCATCTCACGGTTCCAATCTGTCTTCTAACTTCTCCAAATTTTGGCCATCTCCTTCATCTTAACCCAAGTAAGTTCTTCTTTAATATTTTTAGTTTACTTTAATTTGTTACTTTATAAAAGTAGGAATGAAATTAATTAACGTTAAGTAATTTAACATTAAGTTATATCTTCTCCAAATTAGTTAACGTTATGTTACTTTAGGCCAACTCCTTCTCCAAATTTATTAATAATGTAATTAAGTTTTTCCAATTTAATGGTTAATTTAGGTAATAATTAAAGTTAGTAATTTAGGAATGAAATTATTCTATAATAGTGTTAATTTGTAATTGTGAATTAGGAACCTAAACAAAAAAGTGAAATAGGAAACTTGCGAAATTTTAGTTTATTTACCAAATATGAAAGATTAGTGTTACTTTACCAAATATGTATGTATAAATTTAGTAATATGCATGCTAACCTATTTGGAAAATTTTGCCCACCTTTAGTTTAAAGTTTGTAGTAATTTTTTCTATTTTGGTGTAGAAATTAGTCTATAAGTTGTGATAATTAACGAAAAATTAATGTATAGTATTAGTCTATAGTTAACGAAATATGTTGTTTTTTAATTAGGTGTATTTATTTGTATTACAAATTGTATTATAAGTAGTGTTGTTTAATTACATATATAATTTGTATTATAAATAGTGTTGTTTAATTAAATTTGTAATTACGCACAAAGTATTACAAATAGGAGTGTTGATTTGGAATTAATTTAATAATATACTTTTAGGTTTTCATGGCTACACAAAGAGAACACCCCCATCCCGGGCCCATAAAACGTTCTGTATTGGTAATGAAACCTGGAGAACATCGTGCCGATAATGTGTGGAAAACTGAAGAGTCGAGAGACCTAAAATTGAGGTGCATTACTTACCCCAAATCCGCCAAAGACGATGGTGAACGTGATCCTAGAGTCGTACAACTGTTGAGGGCATCAGGCTTTCAAGGAGCTGAACGAGTAGTACAAATCAAAATTGATCACGGTCTTATCACTGCATTGGTTGAGAGGTGGAGACCAGAAACACATTCTTTCCATTTACCTTTTGGCGAGGTCGGCATTACCTTGCAAGATGTACAGGTGCTGCTGGGGTTACCGATTGATGGTCTCCCACTTACTGGTCCGACGGCACATAGTAAGACTGAATGGGTCCAAATGTGTGATGATTATCTTGGTTTCAGACCATTTGAAAAAGATATAATATCATCCAACAGCATTAGAAATCTAGCCATTCAGCGCTTTTTGTTGTCACCGTGGAGCACTGACATTGAAGTTATTCAACATACTAAAACGTTGATTTGGCAGTTGCTCAGTGGGTTGTTGTTCCCTAGCACTTCCGGTAGAGCGTCACTTTACTTTCTTGAGTTGTTGCATGACAATGTAGAGAATTTGACTAGGTGGAGTTGGGGCTCAGCTGTGTTGGCATTTCTGTACCACAACTTATGTGAAGTGGCGAAGGTGGACACATCTTCGATTGGAGGATGTTTAATCCTTTTACAACTTTGGACATGGGAGAGGTTGCCAATGGTTCGACCCCAACGGGTTCTTCCACTGCATGCAATATTTGATTTGCCCTATGGTGCTAGGTAAGCTTCATTGACATAATATATTACATTGTACTGTATTATGGTTTTTATGATTTGTCTTATAATTCGTTAAATTTAGGTGGGCTTGTGCACATAACTGGGCCGACTCTAGCAGATTCACTCTTCGCATTTATAGGGACCAATTTGACCGATTAAGCGAGTCGGAGGTAAAATTTAAATTTATTTAATAAAATACTTTTATATATTTTTTTTTACTAATATGGAACAATTTTTTTGCACAGTTTGAATGGACACCTTACCCGCTTACTAGTCTTCCAGCTTTTTGCACTCATGCATTTGATCTGTGGGTAACTAAAGCTCCACTTATTTATTGTTCATATTTTGAGGCATACTATCCTGGTAGATTTTGTCGTCAATTCGGTGCAGTCCAGGATATACCTAGGAGCGTGACTCATAACGACCGTCACCATGCTATTAGACCAGAGAACAATGCTGAGTTTATTACAGAATGGGAGCAACGATGGCAAACATTATATGTGTTTGACCTGACCAGATGTAACATGTCTAGTGAGGGTAGCGTAGTTGTTCTTGTGCATTGGAATGGGGTGTTGACCTAAAATAATAATGAAGTCAATTACTCTACGTATCCAAATGCTGCACTTTTTTTGAGTGATGATACTACATATGCAAGACTATGTGAGAGCGTTATGCAAGAAATGTCCCGTGATGGTTTCTATGACATGAAAACCATTCATGGGAAATTTCCCATATATAATTCTGAGGGAATATGTGTTTCCTCCATGCCGTGGCCTATCCATGACGACCCATCATGGATCTATTTTCTACAATTTGCTCGCAATCAATACGAACGAGTGGAGAAATACATCAATGCCGAAAAGAAGCAAATGGTTCATCCATCTCAACAACGCACTTCTAGGCGTCCTCCCAACCAAGGCACTTCTCAGCCGATGATTGACGTCAATGTCCCCCATGATGTTTCGGATAGTGACGATGATCCTGATTATAACGCTCTTTCCTTTTCTGAACACGAGAGCAGTTCTGAAGACAGTGATGATATCCCAAACGAGGACGAGGACGAGGACGAGGAGGAATTCGTTGAACCCACATATCGTGAAGAACAACCCATATACGTGGGTCGTGTATATGATACATTCGAAGAGTTGAAGCAAGATGTGTCCCTTGTAAACCTCAAAGAATTTCGAACTTTTCGTAATGAGGCGAAACGCATAGATTATTGGCGAGCAAAGTGTGTTCATCATGAAACTTGTGCGTGGTTTATTCAAGCATCACTAATCAAACACACCACACAGTGGAAAGTCAAACAGTATCAACCGAAACACAATTGCATTCCCAACTACACACGAGGTAAGAATGATAAACTGCTCACGAGTAAGTTAATTGCCTCTGAAATAAGCTCCAAGATTTTTGTTAAGCCCGATTATAGTGTAAAGCTAATCATGCATGACATACAACGGAAGTTCAACATCCACGTGGGTTACAAGAAAGCATGGTATGCTCGAATCTTGGCATTGGAGAAACGGTTTGGCAATTGGGAGGCAGCGTACAACGATCTCCCAAAACTTCTACAAGGTATGGCATTTAGTAATCCAGGCACCATTGTTGACCTACGAACAGACCAAACCGATACACAAGGTACGTATGAATTTAAGTACGCTTTTTGGTCAATCAAGGCAGCGATTGATGGTTTCAATCATTGTCTTCCGGTCATTTCCATTGATGGTACACATTTGTACGGTAAGTACAAAGGCACTTTGTTGGTCGCGGTGGCAATGAATGCTAACCGTGAAATCTTTCCTCTAGCTTTTGGGGTGGTAGATAGCGAAAACGGGGATAGTTGGACGTGGTTTTTACAGTTAGTTGCGACAAATATTATTCCTCCGCGTCAGAATGTTTGCATAATATCTGACCGACATGTCGCGATTGATTGTGCGTTCCGGAATGTGCCACAATTGGGAACACCTCTAATTCAGAGGCGATATTGTCTTCGACACATTCGAAGTAATTTTATGTCCCAATTTCGAAGCAAGAATCTCAAAAAATTGTGTTGGCGTGCCGGAAGTACTCTCATTCTAAATGAATTTACTAACTACATGCAACAAATACGGGGTGCTAATGAAAGAGCATTCAACTATCTTGATGCCATTCCTAAAGAGAAGTGGGCACTTTGTTTTGATGGTGGATGTCGTTATGGAATTTTAACGACCAATCTATCTGAAAGTTTTAACCATGCCCTAAAAGGATGTAGAACGCTTCCGATTACAGCACTTGTGAGAGCAACTTTCGATAAATCTGTTCAGCTCTTTGTAGAACGACGTAATGCTGGTATGATGTGGAATCAAAGTGGATATCAATTTCCGGAAAAAATCCGGAAGCAGATTATGGATGGATGGCAACAAAGGCGTCATACTGTTGTAATCCCGCACAATTATCACAATGGAGTTTTCTCAGTAGCCATAGAAAATGCAACTCCGGTTACGGTAGATTTTTCAAGGAGCGACTGTGATTGTGGCTGCTGGAGGATGGAGGATGAACTGGATGCCATGCAGCCACGTGCATGCTGTGTGTCACTTCCTCGACCGCCCTGTCAATCAACTTATTCCGGAAGTCTATAAACTGACCTCTTACATTAATGCACATGCTGGTGATATTATGCCTTTACCAAATATGAATGAGTGGCCTGATATTGGGATCCATCTTTTACCGCCAAAATATTTATCACGAACTTCTCGAGTGGGGCGTCGTCAAGAAACAAGGTTTCAAAATGAGATGGATATGCGTCCAAGCAGAAGAAGAGGACAACAATGATTTCATGTATTTTTAATATTTCAGCGTTTTTAATAATTTCTTATGAAGGAATTGTACTTTTTAAGTTTTTAATAACAAGTTGTTTCTTATCATTTCAATAAATATTTCAATTCAGAATATATAAATTTTCATTTCAGTAGATTTTAGTGTATAATTTTCGTGAAATGTGGGAAGAAATAAATAAAGCATTGTTAACTAAATCTATTCAAACCTCTTTTTTTTCGGAAATCGTTTAACATATTCACCAAATATGTTGCTTGATTTTTTTTTAATCGAAAACTGTTGAACATATTCGCCAAATACGTTCACTGACTTCTTCTTTTTTTTTTTTAAATAGAAATCCATTGAACATATTCACCAAATATGTTCTCTGACTTCGATCTTTTTTAATAAAAATTCAGAGATATCTATTGAACATATTCACCAAATATGTTGAGTCTTTGGAATGGCCTGCAGACCAGAATCTACACCATTTGGAATGGTCTGCAAAGATCCTACCCTGTTTCGTCAATCACCCCGTCTAAACTCTAACGGCAGGGCAGGTTTTGAGCAGCATATCATACATCTGGGTATCCGGGTGCACGTACATCCGACCCAACTAAGGAAGACAGCCTAATAAAAAAAATCATTAGCATTTTTTCAATTTAGGCGAAAAATCACAGGTTCTGCTAAATGAGCAATAATGTGCTTTTAGTGAGATCTGATCTATTGTATTTGAGTATTAGGAGGCGTAACAATGAGTATCACAATCTCTGCTTCATATATTCTAATTCTTTTTCTTTTTCTTATTTTTCCTTTTATAACAACTTATTAAATTATACTACCTCTGTCCCTTTTATGTTGGGACGGAAGAGGGTGGCACGATTATTAAGAAAAGTGATTTGTGTGGTTGATATTAATTAATTGATAAAGTAAGAATAAAGTAAAAATGATTTAGAGTCACACAAACTTTGTCAAATATGGTATGAGACAATTTTAGTGGGACTTCCCGAAAAGATAAAACGGGACAATATAAGGGGGACGGAGGGAGTGTCTATAATTCACTTCTATTAATTTTAATATGCGAGTCTAATGTAATATAATACTTTTGATATATGCATTGATATGACATTTTAAAAATGATCATAACATCAGTACCAAATGAGCATACATAATTTACAAAGTACGCATTGATATGAAAATCTTAAGGTTTGTTAGTTGAACATCATGACATTTTAAGTGAGCATTAAACCTTCATTATTGAAATGAAAATCACGGTTTCCGGTAAATGAGTACTAATGAACTTTTAATGAGCATCAGACCTATTATGTTGAGTATTAGAAGTCTAATATTTAGAATCGTGACCTCTGCTTCATGACTTCTAATTCACTTTCTTTTTGTTATTTTTTCTTTTATAAAAACTTATTAAATTATATTTATAATCAACTCCTATGAAATTTCAATATGTGAATCTAATGTAAAATAGTAATTTTAAAACATGCATTGATGTAACATTTAAAAAATGAGCATAAGATCAGTATCAGATGAACATACATAACTTACAAAATGTCCGTTAATATGAAAATCGTAAGATTTGTTAGTTTGACATAATGACATTTTCATTGAGCATCAAATTTCCTCTATTGAGATGAAAATCACAGTTTATGTTAAATGAGCATTAATGAACTTTTAATGTGCATCTGACCTATTACGAACATTAAAACACTTTCAATGAGCATCAGACTTATTTGGTTGATTATTAGGAACCTAACAATGTGAATATAATGTCATATGCAACTTTTAAAATTTGCATGAATTTAATATTTTAAAAATGGGCATAATATGAATACAAGTTGAACAAATGTAATTTACAAAATGAGTATTGATATGAAAATCATAAGTTTTTTAGTTGGACTTCATTACATTTTTATTGAGCATCAAACCTCTTATATTGGGTATTGAAAACATGTAATTGAATGTCATGGTCTGTGCTCCTATATCTATAATCAACTCATACATGAATCTAAAAAATAAACTGAAACATTTAATAATATTTTATATTATATATTTTCATAAAAATTGAATATAACATTAAAGTAGAAGACTGCTAAAAAACAAAAACAAAAAGAAAGGAGAACAAACAAAAAAAAGAATAAACAAAAGAAAAGAAAAGAAAGGAGAACATAGGAACTAAGGATGAACGTGAGTGGAGCAGCGGCGGAAAAAGGAGGAAGCAGCTCAACACCTCAGCCTATTAATTATCCTCAAACTAGCTACTAATTACAAAAAATTGGGTGCGCATGTACACTCAGGTGTAGGATATAAATTGCGGGTTTTGAGAGGTATAAGTAATGGACTAATGCAAGAGGATGGAATCATGGAATGCATTATAATGATATTACTCACGAAGTATTATTTTTAGAGATGTTAGACATTTGAAGCCTACAAAGTGAAAGAAAAGAAGTGGAACAATAACAGTATTTTCGCCAGTGCAAGAAAACAGGTGGAACAACAACGGTATTTTAGCCAGTATAAGTGTTCGATATGTGTACCGTTCAACGAACTAGGTTGTCCATATACTTGTTATGGAAGCCTATTCTGGGTCTGTCGGTATGTACG